TATACCTACAAAGTTCAAAATCATGCAGGCAATGGTTTTCCCTGGGACACTCCCTAGAAGTGAAAATTGGACTCTGAAAAAGCAGGATAGAAACAGTATTGATGTTTTTGAACTTTGGTTTTGGAGAAGACTCCTGAGAATTAAACTGTTATAAATGAAGTTGATTAGAAGGTGATTTTAAACAGACTTAAGAAAATACTTTCACACTACACAGTCATTACATCAATGCCTAACGATGACCACTAAGTAGGATGGTTTGAAAGGGGGATTAGAAAAACTTTTACAGGAAAAGAATATCAAGGGCAAAGGCTCTTGAAGGCTCCATGACACAACTGGTCTATCTGCCTTCAAATATCAGGGGCAGGGCCAAAAAGTCTCCATGACTTTTGAGAGCCCCACAGAAGCATCTGATTGCTCACTCTGAGAATCAAGTTGGGACTCCACTTGACCCAGTAATGCTGCACTTTTGTTCTGATATAGCATTTGTGGCCTCAGATAGGTAGAAGTTTGACTTCCATAAAGTTGTGCATGAGTCATTTTATTATATTACATTCCCATGCTTATTTGAAGCTGCTTCTTTGTTGCTTGCTTGTTTCTAGAACAAGAGAATAATATCATGCAATTCATGTATATTAGGTGACTTAAAGAAATGTCTCCCCAAATAGAAGATAAAGCGTAGCTCATTGTCAGCCTCCTCATCTGAATCTGAGCCCACCATGACATTTAGATGAACTGCCAGATGGATTTTGAATCCAGAATGACACAAGATTTCCAGCTGATTTTCAAACGACAATGTCTTCCAGAAAAATCCCAATGCTACACAAGCTTTGGAAGGAAAATGCTTTCCCTCCTGCTTCCCTTCTTTTATTTTAGTTTGCCTACAGCTCTGCTCCAGAAAGAAATACTCAAACACAGGCCATTCTCTTCCACTGGATGATCCCAAATGCCACGGGGATCCTCTGTCTTTTGCTTCATTTTGGGTGGACCTGGATTGGAATGTTCTATGTTGATATTGGCAACGTGACACAGAAATTGCTGTGGAATGCACTTCCCATGTTTTCCAAAAGTGGTATGTATGTATGTATGTATGTATGTATGTATGTATGTATGTATGTATTTATTTATTTATTTATTTATTTTTCAGTGACTTCACATAGATAGAAGATGGGACTCACAGATCATTAATGCTTGCCTTGAACAATATTTATGTTAGAATATTTTATGGAGACTATCAGAGTATCTGAAGTATAACAATTATGTTAAAAAATGCTCGAAATGCCAGAGGATTCCAAGGTCTGGATTATGATATGGTTTTCCACCCAGGCTCTTCCTCTCACCAGGTTCAGCTGACTGCTGACTCTACAAGCAAATTGAACTAGTTATCCTTGCTTTTGCCTCATTGCTCTGCTCCTGACCTGCCCTGTTCAATCTGCTTCACCCTTGTTTGTAAATGTTCATTCTTTTCTAATTGACAATCATTGCATGCATTTGCCTGTCTGTTTGTTTGTTTTCTAATTTATATAGCCACCCATCTCACTTGCATGTGACCCTGGGTGGTGTATAGAATTAAAACAAAACTAAACAATCAACATACTTTATCCATTAAACAGTCAGAAACAATTAAAAACATAATTACGAAAGACAGAGAAGAACGCAATCAAACTTATACCAGCCATTTAATGGGATCCATGCTTCCATGGGATCTTCGGGCCTGAATACAAAAGTAAGTTTTGAGGGCCTTCCAGAAGGCCAACAGGGTTGCAGCCAAACTCATCTTGGAGGGAATGATGTTCCAAAGGGCAGGTGCCATGGCAGAAAACGCTCTCCTCCTGGGCCCTGCCAAATGAAGCTCCTTGGCTGACAGGACCCACAACATGCCCCTCCTGCTGGATTTGCTGGGATGAGTGGATGTAATTGGGGTGAGGGGTCCCTCAAATAGCCTGGCCTATGCTATGTAGGACTTTAAAGGTCAAAACCAGCACCTTGAATTGGACCTGGAAGCAAACTGGTAACCAATGCAGCTAGTGGACCGGAGGTATAACACGTGCTGTTCTTGGGGCACACAGAATGGCCCACACCACAGTATTTTGCACCAGTTGAAGCTTCCAAATAGTCTTCAAGGAGAGCCCCATGAGGAGTATGTTACAGTAGTCACTTCCCGTTTGTGATGGCACTATAAGGCATATCTCTCACCTCACCTGATTAAAGGGTTTTCAAACTTCCGAATTATTGGACTATGTGGGTAAAGACTGACTATTTGATAATTTAAAACTTTTCATTTTATATTATTTGTTTTTAACGAGATAATCCTATTTAGAATTCCAACTGTGTCACAAGCCTTTAAAAGTAAAAAAGCCTGCTATTACTGTAGTTTATATAGACATTTGTTACCAATAAATAAATTTGACATTCAGATGTTAAGAGATGAGTAGAATAAAGAATTAGAAGTTTCTATATTACCTAGACAATGGGAGAGCATCTTAACTTCTATAGCAAGATTATCAATGGACCTTAAACTATGATTTCTATAGCAAAAAATAATATTTAGAACTTATTGGACTCCATTACATTTGTATAGAAAAGGACTGTCTAAGACAGCTTTTTGTAATAATGGTGATGCTTCTTTAAAACACTTTGTTTTTACAATGTCCTATACTTACAAAGTTTTGGGAGAAAGTAGTGGACTATATAACTATGTTTATGTGACAAAAGCTAACATTTTCAGAGGATAATATTCTCCTGAATTACATATCTAGTACATGGAATTTGATAACTGGAAAACGTAAATGGATTCTCCATGCCCTTACTATGGCCAAAAGACTGATATTGCAATACTGCAAAGATACATGTATGGCCCCATTCACTCCATGGATTGAAGACCTGACTGCACTTGCCACTTATGAGCGGATTGCCTATAGACATAGACTTTGTATGGACAAGTGTAATGAAGTACGGGATTTATTTATACAAAATTCAGTTGGTTAAGTTAAAAAACATGATAGTTATATACTCGCAGACTATTTGCATTAGATAAATATATATACAATTGTAACTTTATTGTTGTAATGACATATTATATGTTATATATCTTCCTCCTCCTCCTTTTCTGTAGTATTATTTCCACTTATTTTTAAACACTTTTTTTTTTTTGGACAATGTATGTAACTTTGTGTCTTGTTCCTTTTTGTGTTTATGTTTTGTTGTTGTAATTATTATAAAATAAAGGGGAAAAAAACATACTCCATTGGGGAGCTAACTAGGTCATCAGTGATTGAGAGTCTTCTTTGTCAAATATTTATCTAAATTTTGATATTATATTAATGCAAGAAATTTGGGTAGTTGGCCAGATGGATATGGATGGATTTCATTCTCTCTATATCAAAGCTATTCCAAACTCAAGGGGAACAAGACTCAAAGAAGGCCTGGCCATCTTAATTCCTACAGA